AATGACATCACAGAGCTGGAAAAAGTACAGAAGAGGAAAACCAAGATGATGAGGGGGTTGGAGCACCATCCCTATGAGGAAAGGCTGAAGAGTCTGGGACTTTTCAGTTCTGAAAAGAGACGACTAAGGGGGGGGGGGACCATGATAGAGGTTTATAAACTTTTGCACGGGGTGGAGAGAGAGTTGACAAAGAGAATTTTTTCTCCCTCTCCCAAAATACTAGAACTGAAGGGCATCCAATGAAGGTGATGGGCAGCAGATTCAGGGCAGACAAAAGGAAATCCTTCTTTACACAGAGAGTGTTCAAAATGTGGAATTCACTGCCAGAGGATGTAGTGATGGTCACAGGAGTAAACAGCTTTCAAAGATAGATTCATGGAGGATAGGTCAATCGGTGGCTACGAGCCATGATGTCTGAGGGGAACCTCTGCATTCAGAGGCAGTCAACTTCTGAATCCCAGAGCTGGGAGGCAACATCAGGGGAAGGCCTTGGCCTCTATGCCCTGTACTTGGATCTCCAGAGGAACTGGTTGGCCACGGTGTGAGAAATGATACTGAACTAGATGGACCACTGGTCTGATCCAGTAGGGCTCTTCTTATGTTCTTATGTTTGATATCATAATATCTTTTGTTCACTATCCTTTCCTCAGCTGCAAGAAACTAATGTTTTTTATATAGTTGTCTGCAAAGACTCCAAGATTCTAGCATGGAACTCTCATTTGTCAGATCCCTGGTGCATCTCTCTTGCTAATTTACACCCAGGATAGAAGTGAATCAGCCTTTTGTTTTGACAAATGGGATTCAAGTCACACCAGGCGAATCAAAATGACTCATGCCTAATTCCCCCCCAAAAAAATCCTTTCTGGTGTCCTTAATGCTGGTAGTACCTTAGGGTAGCATCTCCTCCCCCCCTTTTAGTTTTAGAAATACTAGAAAAGTAAATATTCCATTGTATGTTGAGTGCTCAACAGGAGGCTGCTTGTGATAGCACTGAAAAGCATACAGCACATAACTCCACGGAGGTGGTCAAACTTCAGAAGATATCCTACTTTCCCAGAGAGACACAAAAACATTTTGGAAAAGTATCTTTGCTGCCAGTAAGTCAGTCTTTCTTTTCATTTTCATAGCACTTCATGGAAGAACACAAAAAAGGAACAGACAATAATTCTAAACTGCTGCTCAAAAAAAAAAAAATTTTCCCTGCTCAATTTCTTTAGAAAGCTAATGGGCCATTATCATGGGAACCCAACGGAATAGCAGAAGGAAGCCGCAGAAGCAACCTTTGGTTTGGAAAAGCCCCAGGACAGGAAACAGGATCCTTAATGAGGTGCTGGAAGCCTGGTTGTAATCAGTTTCGGTTGGCAGAAAGTGTGTTTTTCTGACAGGATGTCTGAGGAAATTGTGATAACAGTGGCTCGTGCTGGACCAGGAGCTGGCAGACCCAGGATCAAATCCCCACTCTGGCATGGAATCTCGATGGGTGACCTTGGACTTCGTTTTAACCTACCTCGCAGGGCTGTTGTGAGGATAAAATGGAGAAGAGGAGTACACTGTAAGCCACTCTGCATCCCCAACTGGAGAGAAAGGCAGGGTATACATGAAGTGAAATAAATAGTGAAAACAGTAGAGAGCACTGCTAGGCTCATCAAGCCTAGGACATTAGAAGGGAATGAATCTTCCATTGTGTAAAAGCCACTGAACCAACATCTTTGGGAAGGTTTTAGAGAAAAAAATGTCTATAGTCAGACAAAGGCTGCTTTCCTAAACATACTTACTAACAAATTGCTGCCATCTTCCCCGATTCAATCTATTAATACACTTACTAGGGAGTAAGTAGCATTGAACCTGATGGGATTAACTTCTGAGCGTACAGGTTTAGGATTGCACTATAAAACTAGCATTCGGACCAGTAAGGGAAAGATTGCTCTAATCTTATACATCAAATCCTCTGTTAATCGTGCAGAGGTTTGTTTGTGCCACTCGATCACCTAGTTCTTGAAAAGTCAAACATTAATGTAACAAATGCACCCCTCCAGATAATTCCTACTGCTGAGAGACAGGCCAGATGCAAAACAGAGTTCCATTTTTTCTTTTCCCCAACCTTTTCTTTTTTAAAAAATGAAGGATGCAATTAGTGGGAGGGAAGAGACTCAACTCTTAAGCTAAATCTTCCCTTCCTGCTGTTTGTTTGCTAAAAATCTGTGCCCTCCAGCTATTCTCCTTCCCTACGGAACCCAGATCTATGGTCATGGATGGGAGAGCAGTTTGTGTGGGAAGTAAACTTTATCAGACTAATGGCAATAGAGGGAATTGGCATTTTCTGCTAACTGCATTCTTCCACCTACCCCCCAGTCATAACGGAAAACAGGCACAGAACCCTATGAGGCATATTATCCAAACTAGATGTGTTAACAGGAGATCCAAGACTGGGATCTTTCACATTAAAAAGAAAAACCCTTCAGAACAGCTGTTGGAGACCTCTGAATCAGGTCAGGAAAACAGCACAGATAGATAGCCTTTTCTGTGCCACTGTCTCACTCCCAACCACTTCTCACTCTGTGGAGAACATACACCAGGTTCTATAGAGGCTGATTTAGGTAAGGAAATGAACGCTGGAGAAGGGTGAAACCCAATACTCATTTCTTGACCCATTTTGTGGGCTCTGTACAGTATCTTTGAACTTTAAAAGAAATACAGCTAATCCTGAATCTTCCTCATCATGTCTTCTTTGAATTTCAGTTGGGGTCCACACAATTTCCTTTGGCATTGGTAGCCTCAGAAAGAACTGCGTGTACTTCCATGGATCTGTTAAGAATATTTTTGTTGTTTTATAAAATGCAGTGCTGGGGCTTTGATTTGAAGGGGAAGACAGGACAAGGAGAATGAGGATGTAATTCTTTTCCTGTAAGGCATTTTTCTACATAAGAACATAGGAGAAGCCAATGTTGGATCAGGCCAAAGGCCCATCCAGTCCAACACTCTGTCACACAGTGGCCAAAAACACCAGGTGCCACCAGGAGGTCCACCAGTGGGGCCAGGACACTAGAAGCCTTCCCACTGTTGACCCCCCCCCCCCAAGCACCAAGAAGACAGAGCATCACTTGCCCCAGAGTCCCTATCCATACTTTGTGGCTAATAGCCACCAATGGACCTCTGCTCTATATGCTTATCTAATTCCCTTTGGAAGCCATCCATGCTTGTAGCTGCCCCACCTCCTGTGGCAGTGAATTCCATGTGTTAATCACTCTTTGGGTAAAGAAGTACTTCCTTTTATCCGTTCTAACCCAACTGCTCAGCAATTTCATTGAGTGCCCATGAGTTCTTGTATTGTGAGAAAGGGAGAAAAGTACCTCTTTCTCTACCTGCTCTATCCCATGCATAATCTTATAAACCTCAATTATGTCACCCCTCAGCCATCGTTTCTCCAAGCTAAAGAACCCCAAGCGCTTTAACTTTTCTTCATAGGGAAAGTGTTTCAACCCTTTTATCATTCTAGTTGCCCTTTTCTGCATTTTTTCCAAAGCTATAATATCTGTTTTAAGGTGTGGTGACCAGAACTGTACGCAAATGAGGTTGCACCATTGATTTATATAGGGGCATTATGATGTTGGCTGATCTGTTTTCAATACCCTTCCTAATAATCCCCAGCATAGCATTGGCCTTTTTTATTGCAGTCACACACTGTCTTGAAATTTTCAGTGAGTTATCTACTACAACTCCAAGATCTCTCTCATGGTCAGTCTCTGCCAGTTCGGACCCCATCAACGTGTATTTATAGTTAGGATTTTTGGCTCCGATGTGCATCACTTTGCACTTGACCACACTGAACCCCATTTGCCACGTTGACGTTCTACTGAAAGCACCCCCCCAATGCATTCACACCTGCTAGAAAAAGCTTATGTATACTGTTATGTGTTCCCCAACAGAGGACCCAACAGATTTGCAATTTTCAGTAGCAAAATGGCCCATGGGGAAAGGTTTAACATGCTTTTCTTCACCTACATCGCTCCTGGCAGCACCTGCATTTTGTAAACAACAAGTGTCAACATAACGCTTTCAACTTTCAAATAATCCCATAACCATTCCAAACCCATATTTTCCAACTGAACGTGCAGTTCTCGAGTTAACATCGGTTTTATCTTTCTTTCCTGATTCTTGATTCCTGATTCTTTTCTCTCTGCTACCTTACTTCCTTCCAGTTGTCCTTTCTCACAATTGCTTCCCTGGATGGTTTCCTATATGCCAATGTACATTTATGAGACATGTCTGCCATGTATATTCCGGCATTTGCCAAGGTGCAAAGGAGAGAGGAGTGTCTGCAAAGACCAGGGAGCTGCAGTCACAGCACATGTCCCCCACATTTCCCTCTGTTTCCCAAGAAAGGCTCTTTCTCTTCATGATTTACAGGGTTCATTGGAAGATGCCAATGCCCGCAGGGCTCTTTTTGTAGCAGGAACTCCTTTGCATATTAGGTGACACACCCCTAAGGTAGCCAATCCTGCAAGAGCTTACAGTAGCCCCTGTAAGAAGAGCTCTTAGGTGACACACATGTGAATTGGCCTTCAGTGTACCTTTAGGATGCTGTGTGGGGAACTGGGCTTTTGAGAACAACCTTGGGAGAGCCCTGCTCAGATTATCTCTGAAAGAACCCTGCTGGAAACTTCTTCTCAGGACATTCTCTAGAAGTCAGTATCACATACAATTCTTCTCAGTGCTTCTCACTCCTGTAAATATGGATGTCGGATTTCTTTTCTTTTTTTAAATGGGGAGAAATGGAAATTGGAAATATGCAGACTGCTGATGCCCACTTCATGACACAAGAAATATTCATAATTCAGTTCTGATGTTCTCGAACAAGGGAACACCTTATCCCAAATGTCCACTCATTCAGAAAAAGGTGTCTTCAGCAAAGCTACCTGTGAAACAAATCCTTAGAGTTTATTCCTTTATATTTGTCAAAGCACAAGCATATACACATATCTATATATGGATAAACTCACGCCAGCCGTGCTCCGCAGTTTTCTCCCTCAATATCACCTCCTGCCACGTTATCAGTGTTCACAGATTCTGTTTCACTGGTGGGCATGCTCACTGCAAGAGTCAGAGGGAAGAAAAGAACAGACTGTTGGTAATTAGTCTGCAAGACATTAGCCATTACTGGCACTAGCTTAGCAAAAAAAACAACAACACCAGGTTAATAACTAAGAGGGGAAGTGCAGATCTTGGACTCGCACAATTTGGATATAAGTCTCGAAGGAGCTCCTGGGTAAACATCTACCATCAGTTTCTGTTCCACTGCATGAGGGAAGTAGTACAGCCCCATTTCATGAAACTACGTGGGAAAAGGGATGAGATTGATTTTGTAAGTCTCTTTGCAATCAAAACTATCTATTTCCCTATTCCATCTCTTACTGAGGGTAGGCCTACCCATGACTTCTGCTTTATATGTACGGAGCAATTAGCTTGGTTAGGCTGCAGCTCATCCTGTGCCCCCATCCTACTTCTGAAGTTACTTTAGCAATACAGTTGTTGCCTCATTAAACAGACAGTAACTTTCATGTGATATCACCTGGTGGGTTCTAACATTTTCGGGCAGCCTTTACCCTGGCTCTCATTCTACGGCTATTCCGTGATTGTCAGAGTCTTGCATTCCCTGAGCAGCTGTTTCCCCAAATCATACATACAAAGCGTTTCTTGCTTTTTCTGACACTGCATACCTCTCGTTACTTCCTACCCCCCTCAAGACCTTTTTCGATTCAACAAAATTATTGGTGAGTTTTTTTGTATATCTGTCTCTGTGAATATCCAGAGGTTTTAGTAAAATTCCTGATGTGAGGAACAGCTCATAGTCCAGATACAAAGATGCATGCATGACAGAGACTATGCAAAGAGCCAGAGGGGGACATTGAAGGATAACCAGAAACAAACCCAAACAAAAGTGATTGTGACAAACTGCAACGCTTTGGCAACCTTGTTCTTGTATTCTGGTATGTAATAAGTCAGAGACAAACAGAATGCCGAACTGGCATGCTGAGCATGTGGGTTAAGTAGTTCCTTGCATTGTTTGGCATATGATAAAGCAAGTCATGTGACTAATTCACAGGGGACCCAGCAATTCAGCCTACATTTACTATACCATCAATCTGCTCACTTTTGGCAGTTTTGTAGTAGTAAAGTGAATAAAGATTGATTTCCATGCTGGGCACTTGGTGTAACAATCATGCATGTCACTGGACCAATTCACACATCAACAATTGTGGGAAGAAGGTAAATGAGGAAAGGATATTTTGCATTTGTTCCTGTTTTATACTTGCTGATTTAAGCAGGGCAGGCAATGTCTGCATGCATTCTTGATCACGGTTAGGGTGCAGAGAACAAGAGCAGAAAAAGGGTATGACACAGATTCATATAATACTATTGAGAAGCTAGGATGTGGATACACGTGACAGTAGACTGGGTACAACATGAAGCAATCTAACTGGTTTACCATCTGCCCAGTCATCAGCCAACCAATGATGAGCCATATATTTTTTCCCCCATTGAGCTCATCTATATATCTAATAGCAAAGTTTGGTCCCCAACTGCAGATCTCTAAATTCGTGGGTCAAGGCCAGACGAACACAAAAGAAATTTTTCTGCAAAATGGGGGGACCCCCTAGGTTTGCAGGAAAATCTGAAAATTTAATAAAAAATATATTGGGGGGTTTAAATTGCCCCTGAAATAATTTTTTGAAAAAGCATTGTCTGAGCATGCGTAGACAATGCTCTTACCAGTATAGCTGGCTGTGTCCAGTGCAAGGAGCCACTCCAAGCCTGGCTGCTGTGGTGGAGGACCCCTGGAGAAGCTCTGGGCTGCCATTGCAGACCTCTGAGGTGGAGGATGCCGGGAGCTGCTCCTGTCCCAGCCACCACAGCAGAGGACATTGGGAACTGCTCCAGGCCCTGCCGCCATGGTAGAGAACAAAACAAGCTCTACCATAGAGCTTTCCCTTGTATGGCCGTGGCCCCGCCCCCAGCGTGCCCGGGGTCATAACGTCACTTCCCTGTGACGTGCACGCTGGGGCGGGGTTCCCCCCGGGGCTTGATTCCCCGGCATTGGGGAACGGGCCTCTGGGGCAGGGGGATTTCCGCCCCCTGGGGGGATTTGGCAGCCCTAGCACTATTACTCCTTGGAGCTTCTCTTCCAGAATCTAGGACCAATGACAATTTCCATTAAGTTGCTCTTTTAAGTAGCCTGAAAGCCCCAAGCATTTAATTCTCCTGTGCCATAAGAACAGGGAACAGACAGTAAACTGGGGTACAGCCAGCCCCCAAAGCTATCCTGTGTGTCCTCAAACTTCATCCCATTTGGTACCCATGCCACATTAGCCAAGACACAGGAATGGAGCTCTTTAAGTCATGCCCAAAAGAAGAGGGATAAAGAACTCTTTCCAATTTTTTAATTTGTATTAAAGCAAGCCAGTGGGTAGAAACAACACAGCTAGCCCTCTGACTGTAGCTCAATCCAAAATATGGCTGCTGTTAAAAGTAGATGCTAACTGGGGCCCTGTAAAGACCTCAGTCTTTATATTATAAACACTGCACATTTATTTACAGTCTGTTACCTAAAAGCTCCAAGCTAATTCAGAGCGCTACTGTGGCAGGTGCTTTCAGTTATTTATGTTAGTGATGGGGTAAGTTCACCTGAGTGAAGTGAAAGCAAAATGATGTATTGTGCTTCAGCTAGTTCAGCATTTCACCCATCATCTCGTTCTCCAAAAGACTGCCGTTATTTAAAAAATGCTAAACAAAATCGACCAGAAAGAGGAGGGAAGCATATATATAGGATACACAGGCATTTTACTCCTGTACTAGGGGATAACAGAGATGCTGAATTAGAGAATGAGGTAGAAAGGTTGGTAATGATAATTAGATGCCATGTTGTCATGTGAAGTCACTGTTATTCTATTTGCTTGCATATATGTGTATATGCCCAAGCAAGTAAATAGAATAACAGTGACTTCAAATGACAGACCAAGATGGATATTAGTCCAGGACATAGAATCATAGAATGTTAGAGTTGGAAGGGACCTTGCAGGTCATCTAGTCCAACCCCCTGCACTCTGCAGGAGCATAGCCAAAAGATAGCCCTACAACATACCCGAAAGATGGTCGTCCAGCCTCCACTGGACATTCAGTTGCTGACCTAAAAGTAGCCGTTCTCTTACAAAGGAATTTCAAAAGGTGATTAGAAAAAGAGACTGCTGAATTGGAACTGATAATGAAGCTCAAGACAATGCATCCTCCTGGACTGAATTGAGACCTAGGTTTCTTCACTCATTACTAATGCCTGCTATTGTCATTTGGCATCTGAAATCACTCTCCAAGATATAAGGACAGATGGACTCACATTCTACTGTATCTGAAGAAGTGAGCAGTGACTCACAAAAGCTCATACCCTGCCACATATTTTGTTAGTTTTTAAGGTGCTACTGGACTCTTGCTCTTTTCAAATGACAGAAGGGCCTTCAAGACTGAGACTTGGAAGTCCAACTTGCTCTATAGTAAGATTCTTATCAATTTAGACCATTCCCAACAGGTATTCATTGAGCCTCACCTTAATTGCTGGCATACAGTGACATCACTATGTTTCAGGCTGTTGGTTCAAAATTCATGTGTCCTCATGCTAGATAGGGTGTCATCAATCCATTCAGTAGTAAACAGCTTCCAGCTCATTGGGTTGGCAACATCAAGGGTGGCTGGCCATAATCGTATCACTGCCTCGAACAGCACTGGTGTTCTCCAATCAACTGAATTCAGTCTGAATCTTTAGTGCTGCTAGTTAAGCCAACCCCTTCCCACTTTTCTGATCTCCGAGAACAGGACACACAATGTCTTAACACAAAAAGCCATGAATGCTCCAGGGTAACGCAATGAGGCTGGATGGATGATCTGGCAGATCCTCAAACCCAGGCTTTCCCCCCCACCATAGAGAACAATGGAGGGGATGGGGCAACCTGTTTGGGGCCTCGTAGAATTGGACCCCCTGGTTCAATCTTCCTGAAACATGGTGGGTATCTTGGGGAGAGGCTCCAGCAGCTACCCTGTGATTTTGGAGCCTCTCCCTCAAACCCCCTCCCCTCCAGCCCCCAGAATATACCCTATGTTTTCGCCATTGACTTCAATGGCCCATAGGATATAATGGGGCCAAACCCTGAGCTTGCTTTTTCTCATTTGCGAGTCTAGCCTCCGCACTCCTTTAACGAGGCAGCCCTGAACCTTGGGGCGGCGGGAGTTTCTTTGCACGCAGCTTGTGCGGCTGGCTGAGTGCCTCTTCTGCTTGCCAACCTCTCGCCTCTACACCTCATCTTCTGCCAGGCATGGAGAAGCCCAGCTCGCCCAGGCTTCTTGTCTCCTGCTGCCTTGGCCGTCTGGTGCACGGGTGAGTCCCCAAAGTTTGACTCTTCCTCTACAAGTCTCTGGCGCTGGAGGTATTTGTCTCCTTCCCTCCTGCCTGCTATGGCTGCATAATTGTGAGAGATTTCTTAACATAGTGTTCCTGCCAGGGAAGCTGGGGACCCTGCCCATGAGTCTCCATTTCATCCTCACAACAACCCTGTGGGGTAGGTTAGGTAGAGAAGGGGAGATTTGGCCTGGGGTCACTCAGCCAGTTAATATTCCAGAGGTGTTGTAATGTAATACTCAATTTCTCAAACGAGCGTATGCCTGTCTGTTGGTCCACTTAGGAGTCTTGATCCTGGTTGTGTGGTGGGCTAGTTGTGGCAAATGGTAGGGAAGCTCAGTATTTCTGTATACAGTTGTAGGGGCTTTATTGCAATGTGGTA